GCTTGCGTGTGCATGAGTGGGCCTCGGCATCTGTTGGCAACATTTTTTGGGGTCAACAGCGAATAAGGTAAATCGCAGGTTATGCTTTCAAGGGTACATGGTGGAAGGCTGTTTGTACACTTGCACTTACCCAAAGGCCAAATCCATATTTCAAGATTCGAACCCTTGACGCGGCGGCAACCTTAAGGAAAGCTGAAGTTTTTCCACCTTCCCTTTTTACCACTTGGAGATGTGTCATGGGGCAGATTACAATCAGATTTTAATTTGGACCTAACCCTTGTTTGACCCCTATTTTCTGAAATACGTTTTTCCCCAAACTTATTTTCATGTAAATGCTTTTAATAAAATAATTTTACACGTAAATGCAAAAATCTTTCCTACTTTTTTAAACATGCATTTTTCAAAAAAAAAAAAATCACTGCACAAAATTTATTCTCAAAAAAACTCGACCAAGCATGGACTTATGTAATTAAAATTATGTAATTTTTAAATTATAATCTCTTCTCTCCTGTTTACTTTAAAGTGCCATAGAAGATCACTTGTCTATCTCATCTACTTTGCATTAAAATATGCCGAGTCTCGAAAAATTTCCGTCTCTACCTAGTGTACAAGTTACTAAATTGTTTACTTTGCCAAAATATCCATAATAATGTCTAGAGTTTTAAGTTTGTAACACATGTAATTGTCTATTTCAGTACAATTAATGCCTATTAACTATCTATAAAGTATACAAAGGTGACACTTTTGTATGTTTAAAAACACTAGTGTTATATAGCATTATTTACTATTAATATATCAATGCCTCTACAGTAAATCGAACCAATTAATATAGTTGTCACTTTTATAAATTTGAATTACAGTCACATTTTCAAAGCATCTACCAATACATAGTGACACTAGTTTATATAGATGTGGATAATGTGGTGTCCTACTAATTTGTTTCGAGGAGATTTGATCGGTTAAGTTCCATATGTAATAGAGGATTGCTAATAAATGAGTTACTCTGATGTAACATGGATAAACAATCATCATTAACTTGTTTTAGTCGATCGTCAATCTTTATTAGGTCGATTCTTTACTTCCTTCAGTTATTTGTTAGTTGAATAGTTTGACTCTTGTTATTACATTCATGCCAATTGTTGGGTGTAATACATTGTCCAAGTCCGATCTGACAAGTGTAGCAACAAAATAAGATATAAAAAATCACTCAATTATTTTTTATCTAAATAATTTTCAATAAAGTTTTTACCAAATAAATATTTATTTCCATTAGTCAGTAAGAGGAGGTGACTTTCTGTCTCTATTAAGCCTACTAGAACAATCAATTTACAGCTTTTTGGAACAGATTTTTCTGGGAAAAAATATTTTTTTCGAAACAAATTATAAAATTGAAATAAGTTATGGATTTAATTGGATGTGTGGTTGCAAATGATTTTGCAACAAAATAATTTAAACTTTTATTGATAAATTACACATAATCTTGTACTGAAAAAATAGGCGGAAACGACGACTCAATTACTATATAATTAAAACCATCCATTGTTATGTTATACCAAACATGGCATTAGTTAAGATTTATCTATGCTGAATTAAAATATTGTTATAAAGAATTTTGTCATTAACGTGCAAGGCACCGACAGTCCCTCTATCTCCTGCATAACCATATTGATAAATAGTGAGGGTTAATTGTTGGGTTGTGTGTCCATATAGTATAATTTTATTTATGTAAAAATAATAATATTTTTATATTAAATAAAATTGTTTTTATTTTATTTATCGTATTTATTTAATTACTGAGCATACGAATTAAATTGCCTATAATCACTCGGACTTGGACATATGAAAATGGTTTGTGAGTTGTCATTATCACATAAATAGTTAAATGTAACACTAGTACACTTGTAGTATGGATTTTAATTAAAACTCCCTCTTGGATTTTAATTAAGACTTCTATTTGATATTAAAATTATTATTCTACATGAATTGGAACATAATCTCTATAAATAGAGATTGGATGGACATAAAAATCCTACAATAATTATAACACATAATCTCATAGTGTTCAAATTTGGAGAGAGAGAGAGAGAGAAAAAGTGACAAAAATCATATTTTCTTATTGTCCAATCCAAGAATTAGTTTATCTATTAATTAAAAGAATGTGCTCACAAACCGGTGTAGTCTTAATTTTGGAGAATACCATAGAATACTTGGAGATTTGAAGTATCAAGTCTTGCAATTAAAATACTGGAAGGTCGTGATCCAAATAGCTGAAAGTTTGTGATTTAGATCCAATTCTAGAATTGATAATCGAATTTAGGTAAAAATTCGAATATCTAATTATTGCTGTAATATACACGTAAACATCTGGACAATTTTGTTTATTGAATTAAAGAATTTTTTTAATTTCTAGACAATTCTGTTTCCGCATTCCAACAACTAGTATCAGAGCGATCTAGATCGTTCACGTGTTTGTTATTTATGAATCTTGATTGCATGTTCTAGTCGACCGATGTCTAGAAATGTTTTATTATGTGATGAATGAATGATTGAATTATTTCAAACTGTGATCCAATTATTTGTAACCAATTCTTGATATAATTCGTTACTTCGAGCGGAACTCTGCCTGCATGGCAAACAGATTCTATCTGCGTGACAGAATTCTGCCTGTACAAGGAGTCTGTCTATGTGGCAGAAGTTGAATTCAGGTTGACTTTTGGTCCAGGTTCTTTTTGCAAACCAGGTCGGCAGGAAAAGTCGAATTCAAAATTAATTAATTTTTTTTCAAGTACGGTAGCAGAGTCCTATTACTGTTTCGATTGCTATTGTTGGATTCTTGGAGATTTTTTAGGCTGAAGATTTAGATTGAATATTGGGCTTGTGTCCAATAGTTTTTAATTTAATTCTTGATCCATTTAAAGGGCAGCATATAATTGTTAATTTATTTCTCATGAATGCTTTAAATTATTGTTTGAAATATTATCGGTTTAGACAATATGACATATAGATTTATTTGTGACATCGCTCGTGATACTATGAATATGATGCATATCATCGAGCACTGATTTTTTCTTGATTAATTTAATTTAGATTGATTTTTTTCTAGATAGAAAAATTGTAATAATTGAACTGTATGTTAATATGATTAATGTGAACAATTGGTAAATATTCAACATTAAAATCCATTACTTAAAAATATTGAGTGAGAGATGGTGTTTATTTAAATAAGAACACATGGTCTCCTTTGGACAATCCATAAGTAAAGTAACGCATTTGCCTCGTGCCGGTATTGCAACGGACTCCCTGTAGGAAGGCTTGTTCGAGTTGCTTGATTGTATTTCTTTATGATAAGATCGTCTTGATATAATATAATTTGTGATCATCCTATAGATGACGAAATTATTTTCAAGTATTTAAAGATTGAGACAAATGTTATACACTCAAATCGAAATTATCTATGAACCTCCTATAGAGGCTCTCGTTTATAATTTGGTGACCAAATGAAACGATAGTAGGCTCAATATAGACATTTGTTGTCAGATATAATTCGTCTAGTGGGAGGGTCTCAGTTTGATCAGTGGACACAATGACCTTTCCTATAGAGAGGCATGTTGGATCACAAGGATCGAGTTATCATTGCATTATTGTAGTTAGGTAGATCTGCTTGCATTCATGCATCATATGCTAAATTATTATTCGCTGCTCAATTTCAATATGCAATAAATGGTTATTTTTTAGCAAAATGTCTCTCAACGCATTTTTCATTATTTTAAAACAAAACCAACTTGTCGGGAATAATTATGTGGATTAGAAACGTAATTTGATGTTTGAACTTAATGCATAAAAACTTTATTTTGTGCTCGAGAAGGAATGTCCTGAAGAACTTACTAAGACAACAGACAACGTCAAGAGGGCTACGTATGATAAGTGGATCGCAGCTGGTAAGATGGTTCGTTGTTACATTTTGGCATCAATGTCAAACGTGTTACAAAGAAAGCTTGAAACTCAAAAGACCTCTTATGACATACTAGAAAGCCTAAAGGGCATGTTCGAACATCAAAGTAGGAGGGCTCGTTTTGAGGCCGTTCGTACATTGCAAAACATGGATTGGAATATTCTTTTATCTCTATAAATAGAGATTAGATGGACATAAAAATCCTACAAGAATCATAATACATAATTTCATAGTGTTCAAATTTGAAGAGCGAGAGAGAGAGAGAGAGAGAGTGAGTGAGTGAGAAAAATCATATTTTCTATTGTCCAATACAAGAATTAGTTTCTTGATTTAATTAAAAGAAGGTTCCCACTTACCGGTGTAGTCTTGACTTTGGAGAATATCATAGAAGACTTGAAGGTTTGAAACATCAAGTTCTTACAATTAAAAGACTCAAAATAAGTTCGTGATTCAGATCCACTTCTAGAATTGATCATCGAATTTAGGTAAAAATACGAATCCCTAATTCTTGTTATAATATACACGTGAATGTTTAGACGATTTTGTTTATTGAATTAAAGACATTTTTTAATTTCTAGATAATTCTGATTCCGCACTCCAATAAATGATATCAGAGTGATCTAGATCGTTCACATATTATTATTTATGAATTTTGATTGCATGTTCTAGTCAAGCGATGTTTAGGAATATTTTATTATGTGATGATTGAATTATTTTAAACAGTGATCCAATAATTTGCGACCAGTTCTTGATGTAATTTGTTATTTCGAGTATGTAACAAGATAGGTAGGTTATGACTCCATTATCTTGATTTAATTTTCTTTTCAATTAGATTCTAAATTGTGAGCCTATGAGACATAAGAATTATGTAATTATTGTAATTGTTAAATCTTGAAAATTAGGTTGACTTTTGGTCCAGGTTCTTTTTGCGAATCAGGTCGGATCTGTATAAGTCGAATTTGAAATTAATTAATTGTTTTTAGGTACGGTAGCAGAGTCCTATTTCTGTTTGGATTACTACTGTTGGATTCTTGGATAATTATTGCATAATAAAACAAAACAAATTTCGCAAGAAACTTAATTAGTCATAATAACTATACTTCAAAATGTATGCACAGTTAACAAAATGGAAAATGCTATGGGTACATAATTTATGGACACCCCTATGGGTACACTTATGTACCCATAGCACAACCCTAACAAAATAAGCAAAGTTTAGGTACTCCGTACACATGTAAGGTACAAATTGATGTAGGATTGAAGTTTTCATCTTTACCGACATCTTGTACACCTTAAATTTTAGCATTTCTTCATTTATGAGCTCAAAGACACATGTGTCACCTGTTTCGATATGCTTTTCTCTTGCATAGTCTGTCCAACATAATGTAAAGCAACGTATATGACAATTTCTTCTTATATTTGTACGAACCTACCAATTATTATGTGAAGCATCATGGATTTCAACATTCTGCACAAATTTTGGTAAGTATGTTGTGGCAAAGTTCTCAGGTACATCCTACAAAATACTATAAAAATTTAATAAGTAATTCTATATTTTTAATATGTTTATTTTAAAAATGAAAGTACATCAAATAAATTGTAAAGTAAAAAAGAGAAACTTACAATTTTTCTATGACCATAAAGATTCATTGCTAATGTTATTTGAAACATAGAATTGTCAATAGTTTCATAA